AATTCTCTTCAGAATCTCCCATGTCCATCCTATGCCACAATCTCAGCCCAGACCTTCATCCGGGCATTCTCTATCCACTACCCTAGTCTGGGCCACGGCAACATTCCATGGCTGATGCCAACCGAGCCCCTTCAGTCACCTTTGGCATATCAAGGTAAGTGCAATGACCATCATCTCATTTCATGCCACTTGGCTGTGCAGACACCTGCTTTGCAGCCCCATTAATTAGTGCACAGAGGAATCTCATCACAGTTTTCCCCCCCACCCTTCCCGAGCCCCGTGGTGGGCACCTCTCCTTTCCATGCTCTAACCCAAAGCAACTCAGACATTCCGCCTGCCAGGATATGCCGCCCTCCCTGCTATTTTCATGACTAGTCTGGTCAGTCTCCCAGGAGCACACAGAATGGAGGCACCATGTTGCAGGAACTCCTGCAAGTTGGCTCTGCCACATGCACCCCAATCCTTCCACTCGCAGCCCATCACTCCCTCCTGCACACAGCACGCTGCTGTCTTACTTCCCCCATCATATCAAGCTGATTTGCACTTTCTGCCTTTACTGGGTGGGCGCCCCCACAAGGCCCTCTCCTTCCCATCTCACTATCTAAGCCTACTTAGTCTTCAAAATGCAGCTTAAGCCAAGATGTCCTGCAGGAAAATTTCCAAGGACACTACTCCTTACAAATCTCATTCTCAAAATCCCCACTCAATACAATGTTCCATTTTGCCATATGGTACTCATGCTTTGGGGTACAGGGTAATTTGGTGCAGAGCTAAACTGCAAACTCTTGAGGGTTAATCAACTACCTTAGATGGCACCAAGTAGGCATTTCAATATTTGTTGTAAGTTGCACTGATGACTTTATAATCAATTTATTATAATGCATTCTATTCAATCATATATTGATGCTACATTATAATAGGTAAATGCTTTCCTTCTACTGTATGTTGAGGCCAAGAGCAACAGAAGTGATGGCACTGATCTTTAATAATTTCCAGCCATCTTCCTAAAAATTAAATGTCTTATGTTACAGATATATTAATTAAGTGGTAGATAATTCAAAATACAGAAAGATGTTTTTATTTCTTCATTTTTAGAAAGTGATGTTACTATAAATGGTCAGTGAAAATGAGGATGCCTCTAGCATAAATATTGCTTTCACAAAAACCTTCCAAACCTAAAGAATTGTAAAATGAATATACCCTTTCAAATAGACAATACTGTAGCCAATCTAAGAGCCCAGTGGCTCTACCCATATTCATTTAAGAACAGTATACACATAGCTTGAAGCAAATCGGTAGGACTATTCAGCATTAGGCACATGGTGGGGGCAACAGAACTCCACCATCCAATGAGAAGGTCTCATAAGGATCTAGGGTCTTAAGGAAGCCCAAATCCAACACAAGGAGTGCCGACGCCCACTTGTCACAGCATCTAACATGAACACAAACACACACAGGATGTTGAAACCATATTTTTGCTGCTATGACTTACTGAGCCAGTTTCTGGCACTTCTGGTTCTGCAGGCTTTTTTTAAGTGAAAATGTTTCCTATATTTAAATTCCATGTTACTGGACACGAGCTTACCAGACACTTCCTCAAATCATCAAAAGGCACAGTATCAAGAATAATGCTTAGTACTGAGTTTCTGTGTTATTTTCCTCTCTGGTTATTAATGACAATACTGGAAAATGTTCTTTGGTTGCCTAAATTAACCCCCAATGAATTGGATGCGTGTTTCAAATCTGACTTCCAAATCCCCTGGTGCCCAGAAGGACCCCCGTGTGGTACTACCTCCGGACCAGGACCACCCAGGCAGCAGCAAGGCTGGGGACCTGGGGGTGCAGAGGCTCAGCTGGGTGCTGGTGGCCAGGGGGCTGGGCCTCTGGTCCAAGGAAGGACAGCTGCACACAAGGGTCAGAGGGGGGTCTAGTGGACTGTGGTCGCTGGTTATTTGGTGGTGAGTGTGATGGAGTAACACGCACAGGTGAGAAACTGTATTCCTAGAACACAGACAGCGCTGTAGACACACGTTACCTCAATAAGAAACAATAGAGATGAAAAACAAAGAATAACTGCACATCAGAAAGGGCTCCCAGCGGGGCTCCCCTGGAGGCGCAGGCAGTTGAGTGCTGCACTGTGAACCTGTCCGCAGCCTCTGCAGCGCCGGTTCGATCCTGGCCGACCAGCGAGAATCCCACATGGTGCAGCAGACCTCTTCTGCTGCACCCACTGCTCCCCTCAGCAGTGTATTTCGTCAGTCTGCCTATTCTGTTCCCCACTCTGTCTCTGGTGAATCCTCTCACCCTCCCGCACATCTGGTCTGTACCCCAGCTCTTGTATAAATAAATAAATCTTTAAAAAAAAAAAAAAAAAAAAGGGCTCGCAGCACCAGGAGCACCCTGGCTTCATTACAATCTTATGTACATTTACCTGGCAGCCCCAGCAGCCTCATCTTCCTCCCCTATATACATTCAGTAAACCCCAAGAGACTGCAGGACCTGGGCAGGTGGCCCTGAGCAGGAGCACAGGGGTGTGCAGGCCAGAGGTGGAGAAGACATAGGAAAAGGTAAACTATGTGTGGCCTGTGTCCCAAGTACAATAAAGAGAACTTAGTACTTCCCCTGCTGTTCAGACCCAAGATAATATAGCAACTGCAACCCTCTAGGTACCTCTCGTTTGTTACCTCAAGACCCTCACAAGTCTCCATGGTAGCAATTCCCCACCTTACCAATGGGGAAACTGAGTCACAAATGGGCATGTCCAGGGGAACACCCATGTCTGGCTCATCTCCCATCCCCTCTGCGCTGCTGCACTGCCCTGAGACTGCCGCTGCCTCACGCAGGTAATGGTGCAATGTTAAAAGACTTGTTAGAAGTATGTGTTTGCAAGGGTTTTCCATAAGACTCCTGCATTTCCCCCAAGTCTTATTTGAAGCTCCCTAGAGTTCCAGGCAGTCTTTGTCACTGCACAGTATTTCTCCTCTGTTCCAAAGGTAGCATTAAGTTGGTTACAGCAGGAGGGGAGAGAAGCCCTTGGTGGTGGATGGTAGGTGAGCATTTGGTGTGAGATATGCAGTTGCTGAGGTGAGGCAATGTCACCTTGGAACCTGTAACTGTTGTAAACTAAGGGGATCTCAATGGAAAGAAAAAAAAATTAAATTGTATTACTCATCTGCTTTGATACTCTGTCTCCCAGACACCAAGATAAATTTAAACAGTCTGTGCATGGACTCAACACAGGTCAAACACTAATTTCAACTTCAGGAGCCCCAATTCCTTTGCCAAGCTGGAATTTCTGTCAAATGTTTACTTCAAAGGCACTATTTTTGTTATGTTTGGGTGGTAAAAGAAAGGCATGGGAGAAGGGGTTATGGAATCAGCTGCATTCAAACCAGAAACCCCACAGAAACCTGACTCAGGGCACTCTGGATGGAAATCCAACATAAAATTAAAATTTTTAGAAAACAAATTCCATGGCTAACTTCAATCCTGCCAGCTCTGTGGTAAGGGTAATACAACTCTCATTTCACTTGACCAAACAAGCTCTACTGCATCTAAAGCAGTTACTGTCCCCACTTCAGGGCACCAAAGCGCAGATGAGCCACGGTGCCCATGAAGCCCACAGTTAGAAAGAGGCCTCATGTCACCTACTCCAAAGTCTAGTCTTCAACTCCCACTACTTCCCTTCTCACAGAACTTCCTCCCAAGGAAGTCGGGATTACAACATCAGTGTGACCCCAGCTTCTGCCTGACTCACGGGAGTGGCTTGGAAAGCGTCCCGCCCAGTATCAGAATAAGCAATACAGGCTGACGTGGCTCAGCCCCCAGGACACACATCCACTTTCCCTCTGTATGGACAATCCCGCCTGTTCAATGCTCCCATCCTGGCTGAAAACTCACTCGACTAGCTCAGGCTGCCCTCGTGGTACCCGGATGCCAGAGTCGGGCTTCTGCTGGGAGCAGAGCAACTCAAGCTGCTGTGCCAGGCTGGAGCCGAGTTCCAGGACACACATGTTGGGGGGGCAGGTGGTCAGTCTTTTCCAAAAAGACCTTCTATGTCTGGAGAAAGTTGGAAACCAACTCAAGGTTTTTGTACCTGAGAACACTGTTAAAGGAAAAAAGTCTAAAGACTTTTTCAAAGTCTAAAAGATGCTGCCAAATTACATCCAAGCACCCTGCGATCAATATTTAGCAGCTGTCAACAATAGGTTGTTGAACCACATAATCAATGTTCTTCATTTGTTCTTCCATATGAGGTGACTGGGACACGTTTGATGACATTCTCTAATTTGAGATTACTGTAAAGGGTCTTTTGATAATGCTTTTTAAAAAGCAAGCATTGAAGGCAGTGAATGGAATATAGAACTATTCAAAGGTGACAAAACAAAAGTGTCACACTAGATGAAAGGATATATTAACCCTGTTGGCAAAGATGTAGTTAGAAGTAACAGACATCACAGCAGCCACCCCACAGAGCGCCTTCTTACTGTGTGTCTGGTATTTCCATGGGATTCTTGAGAGAACAGAGCCTGGCAAGTTAGGCTCAGGATAGCCAATGATTTGCACAAGTTCTCCGCTCTAGTAAGTAACAAAGTCAGAATGTGCGACCAGGTCTCTCTGGCTCCAAAGCTTAGAACATCCAACCTGGCTGAGGTCAGAAAAGCTTTTCTTCAGTTCATTAGTTTAGGGATCCAAAGACTGAAGAGCGGTTTAAACACTCTGCCCTTGATGCACTCTTGAGAAATCAGTATGTGAACCTGTCCTTCAAAGCTTTAAAGCAGAGTTGACATTTGTTCTTCATGCTAAATAATAGTCTTGAGGGTTGTTTTGTCAAAACAGCATCAGCAACCAACCCCATAGCTGGCAAGCATAGTCACAAATTAAAATCACATGGAAAACTTTTAAACTGTACCAAACCTGGACCTCAATCGTATAAGACTCTCTGGGGATAGAGTCTGAAAAATCTGTGCTTTAATTGCTCCCAATAACCACTGACTTACCCTCTTACGACATGTTGGGGCAAGGTACCCACTTCAAGGATTGCCACATCTTGGAGATATTCTTAGTACAGTTATTAACTTTGGCTGCTCACTGTAATCACCGAGGACCTTTAAAACTTTCTCATGTTCGATCCATACACAGAGCTGTCAGACTCTGAAACCAAAGCATCAGTAGTTTGCAAAGTTCTCCAGGCAATTCCAACCTGCAGCAAGGGTGGGGCCACCACTTCAGCTGCTACCTATTTGCATTAGAAGCCCAAGCCCTCCTTTGGACAGGATCCCTCAGCATGGAGCACCTCCAGTTGGTGTGAATGCTTGAATGTCTGTCCCTTCATCTGCAGCTACTTAAATCCACTTAAGAGACGCACAGCATGACTCTCCCCTCAGAATCACTCCCACTATTGAGTGACTCATCTCAGACACACACGCAACATTTGCCATTCTCTCACCACTTTCCATTTTATGATCTCCACTTCTATTTCCATTAGTGTTTCCACCCTGTCATTTCATGGACAATACAGGGTTAATGTTGTTTGGGGTGGGTGGAACCTAGGTACAAAGCCACAGGCTGAGAAACCAGTGTGTCTGCCGCTAAATTGAATTCTCTGGCCTTCTGGCATCCACCAAAGGTGGGAAGAGTCTTCTGCTCTGGAGTGGCTCTGATTACAACGAAGAAGTTCAGATGGAAAGCTTTAAAGTAAAGGGGCTTCAAGTTACCACTTGATGACATGCAGCTCCTCCAGAAGCAAATCTCAGAAGATTCTCCAGATCCCCCAAAACATACTCTTCGGTTAACAACAAAGAGCTTCATAACAGCGAATAAAGACCTCTGCACATTTCGGTACTAGCCACTGGAATTATGTCCACCTTCTTCCACAGGGTATACATGAAAAAAATTGTACACTGAAAGTGCAATGCCTTTTATCCAACAATTTTTAACATGCAAGGGTAGCAGCGTCCACTGTGAGGATATTCTTTCAAAGGGCAAATCAAGTGTCAATTAAAGCTTCCTTAAAACATACATTGCTTTGGACTACTAATGAAAGGTTAGTGACTGAATGAATGAATCCACAAAATGAATCCACAGCCTCACCCTACAACCCATCCCTCTTCTACACCCACACAACAATACCAATGAAAAAGTTCATAGTACTTAGAAAACTCATTTCCTGTGGTATACTTCCTATACTAGGTAAGACTTTGTACATTTTCAGTTTTTTTTTTTTAAAGATTTATTTATTTGTTTATGCATACAAGAGCTGGGGTACAGGCCAGAGATGCGGGGTGTGAGAGGATCCACCAGAGACAGAGCGGGGAGCAGAACAGGCAGTTGTACTGAAACACACTGCTGAGGGGAGCAGCGGGTGACACAGGAGAGGTCTGCTGCGCCATGTGGGTTGCTCCCTGGCTGGCCAGGGATCGAACTTGCGCTGCAAGGGCTTTGGATTGCTTCATAGTGCGGTGCTTAACCCCTTGCACCACCAGGGAGGCACATTTTTCAGCTTTTTTCAATGTTATCTCAGGCTGTTTCTGCAAAACTATCAGTGGAAACCCCACAATGAATTCACAGACTACAATGGAAAGAGCAGGTCTGATTTCCCAACCAATTATAAGATAAAATGTAGCAATAATTTCCTCCACTTATTTTGATGGGAAAGATCCAGATTATTGACTTCTAAATTAGGGCTCACCAATGTCCTCAGTTAATTTCAATCTGGTTCCTAATAATTGGTGCTTGAGAAGGAATTTTAGGATAATATTTTAAAAGTTAATTAAAAACAGCGTAAGCATTCATGTCAGTCAAATGTAACCTCTGCTCTGCAGTGCATTTAAATGCATGTCACCTTGACCTGTAACAGAGCAATGTAAAAAATTTTGGTCAATATAAATCAAATGTACACTAATTTATTCAGCAGGTTTCCTGGTATCTGAATCAACATTAGAAATCTAACCAGTATTTGTTATTCTGTTATTGACAAAAGGAAGCATATTTAAATGATAACAAGTACTCATGGGTGTCATTTGGAAGTTAAATTGTTCCCCAAGGACAGCCTCTGTAGACGTCTACATTTAAAGGTCATTTACCACCAAATTATGAACAACTGTTGCATTTATTAGCACAGGCTCAATAGCTTGGTAGCTGTAGCCATCAATTTTTACTGACAGTGAGATCTAATTGTACCTTAATATAAACAAACAAACAAAAAAAACAAAACCCCAGACCTTTGCTATAAATTTTTATTCCCTGCACTATGTTCACTTCTCAAAAGGGAGACACGAGCTTCCCAAAGGCGTGCATCTGAAGCAAAAAACCTTCCTACTGCAGGAGGGAGTAAACATCACTTAAGAATAATATCAGCTAGCAAAATATCAAACCTTGTTTTCTCATGCTCTGTCCATCAGAATGAAATTAAGAGAGAGGAAAAAACATTACAGTGTTTATGACTTGACTGAGTGTTATTTCCATTGTTAAAAGGAACAATAATGGTTAGTTTTGCCAGGGATGCCAAGACACTTGGCCAAACATTATTATGGGTATTTCTGTGAGGGTGTTTTGGTGAGATTAATATTTAAACCCTCTGGCTGAATAATACAAAGTGCCCTTCACAATGTGGGTCATGTGGGTTGGATTCTGAAGGCAACATCTTGTGGGCTTGTTAGTGCAGCACCTTCACTGAATGACTGCTACTTTGGGGGGATCTAGAGCAAGAGAATGTTCTGCAACAGGTCCAGGCTGTTGGGAGATCTGCGTTGCCACCTGGGCCATTAAGATCTAGCAAATCCAAAGGTGTATGAGTGACAGTAGCAGACTGGGGTGTTCTTAGGAGCCACTCACAAGCCCTGCTGTGAAGCACAGTGCAGGGTCTTAGGTTTGGGGAGCCACAGTGGGGCCACCCTCTCTCCTTCTGGGGAACTGTTCTTGGCTCACTATTGGGCCTTAGTAGAGGCTGAACACTTAACCATGGGCCACCAAGTTACTATCCATCCTGAATGGGGTGTTATTTGACTCATTGAGCTATAAATTCAGGCAGGTAAAGCAATATTCCAGCACCAGATGGAAGTCTATATATGTGACGGGGTCGAAGTGCATGTGGCTGAGCCCAGGCAGAGCCAAGCTGGCTAGAAGCGCTGATAAATACCAGTCTGTCTGCAGCAGAGACGAACGCTGAGCCCTGGGTGAGCAGCCAGCTAGCTGGTGGCAGGTTAATCACATCACATTGCTTCATCATGGAAGGGACATGATTTGTTCTTATTGTCTTGGACACTCTAGATTCGGATTTGCCTTCACTGCATGCAGAACTTGGGGATGTTGGAATCACTAATTGTCATCTCTAAGCATCAGGGACAAACAACCAACATCTGCCAGATGCAACATGGTCCCTCTGGGTGTCTGCCAACTCCAACGAAGACAGAAAAGGCTGGAAGTGCTGTCCTCTCAAGAGCTTATTTCCAGTGCTCTCCTGCACGTTCACTTTAAGGGATGTTAGTCACCGGTATTTTGTATATATGAGATTTTTATCTTATGAGCTGAAAATTTTTTAAATATTTATTTATTTATGCATACAAGAACTGGGGTGTAATCCAGAGGTGTGGGGAGTGAGAGGATTCACCAGAGAGAGTGGGGAGCAGAACAGGCAGACTGACCAAAGTACACTGCTGAGGGGAGCAGTGGGAAAGACCGGAGAGGTCCGCTGTGCCATGTGGGTAGCTCCCTGGCCGCCTGGGGATTGAACTCGTCCTGCAGTGGCTGGTGATAACTTGATAGCACTGTGTTTAACGCCTGAGCCACCAGGGAGGCCCTGAGCTGAAATTTTTTAAATGTTCCAAGAATAAAAAGAATTATAAAGTAAAAATCTAAGCAATTCAAATTTTTGATAAAAATTGACAAGAGCTTATTTCAAATACCCACCAGCCCCCTTCACAAAAAGAAAAAGCAACTCAAAGGGACATTAGCGCATTTCAAGTGCCCAACCTAACCACCGGCACTGAGCCAGCAAACTGCACAGGACCTGCACTGCGACAACACTGCTCACCTATCAGATTGGCAAATATCTGAAAACCTGAGGGAAAGCCCCGCAGCCTATCCCAGAGCAGGCATACCCTCTCCTGAGTTGCTAAGGGAATGCAAAAGTGCACCATCAGTTCACCAGGGGATTTGACCATAACTGGCAAAATTAAGTGGGCATTTACCTTTGGAGCCAGTAACCCACTGCTAGAAATCTATTCCAAAGAAATACTGACAAAAACAACGAAAAGAGGCGTTAAGACTTTGGAAGGCGGCCAGCAAGGCGCAAGAGCTACGGAAACTGCCACTGTCTCCTCGCAGATGCACCCCTGGGCAGTCTCTCTAGGGCAGACTGCTAAGACAAAGAAAGGTGGTTTTAATATTCTACTGTTTCATCTGCGAAAAGGAGCAGGAACACAAATACATTAGTACTGGTTACTATATTTTTGTATTGTAAGCGGAGGTATAAACCCATACCCTTTCGTAAAGTGGTCTTAAGTGGGAGAAGAAGGAAACAGATTGGGAAGAACATTAACAGAAGCTTGATTTCCACAGATACTCCTGATACAGTATAAACAATATACAATAGAAAGCAATACTGATTTTTAAAAACAACCTGAAGATGATAATAAAAAATTTAAAGCATAACAACATGAGACTGGGTAGCTAAGCAGAGAAGAATCAATCCAGTGATCTGCAAATAGTGACTAGACTCCTAGATCCCTCTTGGGCTAGATGTAAGAATAAAAGAACTTGTTAGAAACATTTTAATCTGTATCTAGCAATCATGTTGTGATGGCAGGACAGGTATTATAGTGAAGACACACTGATGCATTTAATGTGAGGCCGTAAATTAATAATGTGATATATTCTATTAGTTTCAGCACTTAAAAGACCGAGCTTTTCAATGTGGGTGGAAACACACAATTGAAACAGAAGTATCCAAGAAAAAAATTCTGTTTTCCCGAATTCAACAAGGTTTTGGTCCTTAAAAAAAATCACAGCTTTGATAACTGAAAAGATCTAGAAATCGTCACAAATCCAGTGTCAATGTGCACTCCCAGTGCCCAGATCACGGTCCCGAAACATCTCATTCACTGCACCCAGGGATCTTTAGAGAAGTGGCTAATTCCACCTCTGGGGCAGGAAAGGTAAAAGATGCATCAGAGTATCTTGTCATACTGGAAGCAAGAAGTTATGAGTAAGTTGTAGTGAGGACACAGTTCCCAACTTGAAAAGACAAAAGTTAATAGTGGCTGAAGATGGGACCAAAAGCACAGAATGATAAATGCAACAAACTGAACTATAGCACATACGCTAATAATCATAGGTCTAAAATGACACTAATCTTTTAAAAAGATTTATTTATTTATGCATACAAGAACCGGGGTACAGGCCAGATGTGCGGGAGGGTAAGAGGATTCACCAGAGACAGAGCAGGGAGCAGAACAGGCAGATCTACTGAAATACACTGCTGAGGGGAGCAGCGGGCGAGCCAGGAGAGGTCTGCCGCGCCATGTGGGACCCTCGCCCGCCAGCCAGAATCAAACCTACACTGCAGAGCTGCGGACAGCTTCACAGTGCTGTGCTCAACAGCCTGCACCACCAGGGGAGGCCCCAATAACACTAATTTTTTAAGAACAAGTCTCTGTGATCACCTTTAGTTTGTGATCTTTGGAGGCCACAAACTCATTTTGGAAAACTATACAATAAAAGAAAGAATGAAGCATTTATCCTGCCTTTCCTATAAAGCTATACCTCAGAGTAATTAACTAGTTTACAAGGCAAAGTTTCTTCTTCTACATGTATTCAAGCCAATAAAAGCACAAAGAATGGTAACATGAGAGCATCATTACTTAGTCACCGCTAGGAGTGAACAGCCATAGGCGATGTTCCTCTATGTCTGCTGGCATCACCAGCCAAATTTGTAAATAACCAAGTCTCAACCTTCTTATAGTGTAAGTGACAGAGAATGTGTTAATAATGACACCAGGATGTGGGAATGTAAAATGACCCAACCACTAAGGAAAGCTGTGTGGAGGGTTCTCAAATTACTAAAAATGGAGCTACTATATAACCCATCAATTCCACTACTAGTGATCTACCTAAAGGACACAAAAACATTAATTCAAAAGGA